GCAGGGCAGAGATAGCCTGGACAATTCCTATTGGCTTTTGAAAGCCAATAGAATTAGACTCTATTCAAGAGAGTCTATTCTATTGGCTTTCAAAAACCAATAGAATAAAAGGGAGTAGCACAGCTAAGGAAAAGGGGGGAAAAATGGTGGACTGCGTTGTTTGGCGACTCCCGTGAAATGGTCGTTCGACCCCAAATGGGGTCCCGACCCACAGGTTGAGAACCACTGGTATAGATTGTCACGTAAATCCAGCCAAATTTTGGCTTATTCAACACACTGCGATTAAGAAAAAAATAGCGTACAGTGAAACATGAACTCAGATACCTATTAGCTGGAAAACCTAACAAAATGCTTAGTTCCATGGCAATACAATTGAGCTGTAATTTGGGACATTACAACATTTGGGACATGAATGTCAGATCTTCACTGCAGGCCCTGGTGCTGCTGAATTCTAAGGAAAACCACTGTCAAGGTGTAGCTTGAGGCAGTGTGTCTGCTTTGTTGTCCTGTTGTGTGAAAATCTCTTGACCTCTTCATGTTTGCAGGATACAGAAGGCTCTTTGGCTATAGACAGTGAAGAGTATGAAGCAATGACAGTGGAGGTAAAGCTGTTGCCCAGGAAACTCAATTTCTTCTGTGATGCCAGAAAAAAAGAAGAAATGCTTCAAGGTATATCATAATCAAAGCAGCTGATTCAAGGTATACTGTAATCAAAGGATTGAGTTGGACGACTGCCTGAACTGTTTAACGAACTGCGTCTGAAGACCACACATCTTTCCTTCAGTTATGATGAAAGCCGCCTTTTTCAAACTACGTAAGTAAGAAATTGAGGAAGAAGAACTAAGGTGGAAACAGTTGGTTTTCTTTTCGTCTGGTTCCAGTTATTTCACAAAAAAATGACTTCCCAACTACCTCTGTGGCAAGTGTGTAACACTTTGGGTATAAACTTCCATTTGTAACCTGCATATATACATAGGTCATTGTTCCTACTTACCTTCATTTTGCTTCCTTTCCTATTTCAGTATTTGAGGTATGGGCACCCCATCAGTGCTATGCTTATGTTTAGAAAAGTAATAAAAATTAAGCAGTCTCAAGAGAAAAGTATCTAAAATGTAATTACTAATAACTGATCAGTGAATCATTAGACAAGCAGCTTGACTGGCAGCCTATCTTTGGTACTAAGCACATATTATTCTACTTTTATTCTCTAAGAGAAAGGATGCAAAAAAGGATCAAATCTGGATCTTTTTGCGTGCAAAAGATCCCAAATCTCTACTATCAAGCTGATTTCTGACACCTAATATTTGACAAAGGACATTTCTTTTGGCACACAACCCACCTGAGTTTGGAATAACAGTCTTCTGGAGTTTTGTTTGCAGTAAGAACAAAAGGAAGCAGTTTACTTCATGTTTTGAGTGTCTTTACAGGCCACAGCTAGGGTTTGTTTTTTTAAAATATCTTGAGTCAGCCATAAAGATTCAGTGTTGATAAATAAAACTGATAATTTTCTTGTTGCCACTGGGTGGAGCTAGTTCAGAGAATTATCTTCCTGTTTACCTATTAGGGGAATTTATTTTCCACTTTTAATTATTTGTTTTGAGGCGTTAGATTGTAATGTGGTGTTGCCCATATGTTCTGTGTCTTTTATGCTGTTTTTATAGACGGATTGCCAAATAATGCACAGCATGTGTGCATCATAGTTACTTTGCTATTCAGTCTTCAAGTTACCAAATACTAAATATGTTGCTTTATTCATCTGCTGAGCTTTAAAGACAGGGCTAAATATAAAAACTGTATTGTACACAAACATTAAAAAGATATAAATTTATAGCTGTAAAAGTGTATTTCTGCTTTGAAGTTGTTCATGAACTGAAGTGAAATCATTACTAAATATTGCCTCTTTGATTGAGAGCTGGCATTGAAAAATTCATGCTTAATTATTGCTTTGTTTGCTATTTTTTAATTAAATATGAAAGCAATTTTCCTGTCCCTATTTTTTTCCTTCTAAGATAATACATAATACACAATAAGTTTGTAGATATCGATAAAAAAAGGTTGAAAGTGAGATTACTTTGACTTTTCATTGCTTTTGAGGGTACAACACAAAAAGAAAATACAGGTTTTATTCTACAGCATTAAAACACTGCATGCCTGGACTGTATTGATGGGACTATTCCAGGTTAGTTTGTTTTGAGTTTCAGGTTGTTGCACAATTCTAGAAATCGGTATGCTGTCCATAAAATAACTGAATATAACTGTTAATGTCCATGGGATAGGACATACTGTACCATCAGCAATTAAAAAGTTCTTAAAACACAAGGGGCAAAGAGGGAGACCAAATAATTGAGTTATGAAGTTTCACATGACCCATCAAGCTGTTTTAAATAATCACCCAGCACAAATGATATCTGTGTTAAAAGTGAGTTTTAATACAGTAAAAAAGACCATTATATATGTACACAAGTCCTTTTGGGGTTCTACGTTAGCAATGAAATCCACAAAGGTAATGCTTTCTCTCTTACTGAAAGAAGCCACTGGTGTAAAGAAAATGCTTAGTCACAAGTTAATGAGAAGATCCTAGCTGCCCGTCAAGTCATATTCACACTTAACATCTTTTCAAAACTAAGTTTATACACTAGATTTAATTAAAAACAGATGGGGAATACCGTATTACAGTTATTATGCAACAAGTTATATATGTTCTCTCATAGAAGCAGGAGGGATCCTCTCCCCAATACTCCCAAGGCTATTTTTCTTTTTTAAGAAAAAAAAATTGGATAGTGCCTAAACCAAATCTTAATTTACGCAGCTAATGTTGGAAATATATTGGAACCTTCTTAGCTCAAAGGTTGCATGATGAAAATGGCTGCCAGATATATGTCATTACTCTTTTGTTGTTTAAGCCTTGCAGACTTAAGGCACCCACTTAGTTCCTTAAATCACCCCCAATAAGGGGGGGGGAAGGTTAGCATTTTTAAGGGGTGTATCAGAAAGATCTGCAAGGTTAGGGCACCCATTTCCCTACCCCCTTAAAACAACCTAATCACTGTGGCAACAAAAAAGCACCCAAATTAGGACCTTTAGGTCTTCCGAATTGTTAGCAAAATAATGTTGGAAAATCCGACTGGCATTTCTTTAAGCATCCTAAAACTCTACTAGGAAAAGGGCAGGCAACTCTTATTTTCTGTCTTGTGTCACTAACAGTATCTTCTGAGTCGTGTAGGAATCCACTCAGTTAGCAATTAGCAGTTTTACTTCCACTGGGCTAGATCCACTTTTGAGAGAGAAGCAGCAAACTTCTTTTAAAAAGATAGGTAGAAGCCATTGCAACCTTATTATATTATATAGTTTCCTAAGCAATCCATAATTCCCTTTGTCATTTAGATCGAGGAGGCAGACATACATCATCCAAATTTCACTGTTTGTTCCACATAGTGAATATGGCCTTATCAATAAATCCACCAATTATTTTTTCATAGCTAGCCATGAGTCACTCTAGCAAATTACAGCTTTGTTCGCCTTTGATCTCTGTGGGTGAAATGAGCCAAGCTTTTACATTCCCTGAAAGTCATGTCAAGCAACATACGGTCTTGTTTTAAGGATGAGCCAATAAATTCACTTGCTAATTTTGATAAATAATCTACCTGTGTGTGTGAACTGCCCAGTGCTAGGAAATACACTTATAAGAATACACGTATGGATTGTGTAAAATTGGTACTCGAGAGTGATTATGACCCAAATGTTTGCTTTTCAGAAGTGGCTCAGTACCCAAGCATGCTAGAACCTTCTGCTATTAAATGAAAGACTCAAAAAAAATGAACTTGATATCATAGGCAAGAGAGTGCATGTTGTAGTCTGTATTAAATAGTAATTTCTACCTAAACTATCTAATTTGTATTTAAGCAGAAATGCACCTTTAATTTTGTACAGTAGAGAGAACATCAGCCATTCATTAGTTGTATCTGTGTATAAACAAATTCATTCTCTAAGGCAGTGTTTCCCAAACTTGACAATTTTAAGGCATGTGGACTTCAACTCCCAGAATTCCACAGCCAGCAACGCTGGCTGTGGAATTCTGGGAGTTGAAGTCCACATGCCTTAAAATTGTCAAGTTTGGGAAACACTGCTCTAAGGGCCTATGTTTATGTAGGCAAAACAGAACTATGCTTATATAGGCAACTCAGTGTAGAATATGAAGCATCAAGTTGGTGTGGCAGATTTCCAGTGTTTGCAAAAGCATACATACATAAGCAGCCCAATGTACAATGGGCACAAAACAGTGAGAAGGCTTCAGCTGACCCCATCCCCCAAGCTTTGTCCAAGGAAGGCTTTTCAAGTTAAGAGAATTTGAATCACATTAATCATCACCTGGCAACCTGCTCTCATGAATTCTTTTCAATTATGGTATTCAAGATGAAAGCTGTGTTTCAAAGCTGTATTTGTTATATGGAGGCCTATCTAGTTCAATTTATGGTGAATTAATTATGCAATGGTATAATGCTGGAGGTGCAACCTGACCACGTTTTCCTAAATCTGGGCACAGGGACAACATTAAGATCATAAACTGAAGAAACTGTATCGTCATAGTCGGTTTGTGCATAAAGTACCTGGCAAAAAATAATTGCAACATTTCCTGTAGATTCCACAAAAGTGCTCTTCCTGAACTCACAAAGAAGGCAGGTAAAAAGTGAAGACCAGCATAACTTCACAGATCCAAGACCAGACTTTTCCTTATACCAAAACCAAGCAAGTTCATTTCCATAGTGTAATTCAAAAACTCATATGCAAATGTTGTATTGCTTTTTACAGGGCTAATAATGTACTAACTATGGCTGAAAATCTTTATAAAGGGTATTTTTAACTAGTTTCTCTCCCTTACAATAACCTGTATGGAAAGGCCTTGGCACCGGATGTGCAATCTTTGAGCCGCAACCCAAAGTCCTCATCTGGTGAAAATCATCAGAAGGCCTTTAGTTGATTTTTTGTTTTCTTGTTTCTAGTTTTTTTTTTTAAAGAATAGAATGGAAACGGGACTTTGAGGAGATCATCTGTTTTCTGTCCTAACCCACCTCCCCACAAATACCCATACAGCTTGAAGCATGGTGACAAAATTCAGACTATAAATTCAATAGCAAAATTTCAGACTAGTTTTTTTTTAAAGTTTCAATAAAGAAATAAATCAATTGTTTCACTGAAAATTGGCTATTCTCCTATTGGACATTTATAAACTGTCTTGGAGAGAAGGGAGACAACATGAAGGCTCTTGGTTATAAGTTACTCGCCTCTATCTAAAGATCTATATAGGATTTAGAAGTGATTCTGAGCCCTCCAAATTACAGGATTGGACAGCATGAGCAGAATTTCAATATTGTTTAAAAAGTCAACCTGCAAGAACCTTGAAAGACGTTTCAGCAGCAAATAGAGCTCCTGCATACTTCATGCTTGCTCTCTTCTGTTTCTCAGAAAAGACTAGCTAAATTATGCAAATTAAATCAGGCAATAAATACTGTTTCTTGTAGTTATTAATTTGGCAATCATTTTGTTGCATCAGAAATCTCTCATCTGTATTCAGAATGCCACTGCATATATTATGCTATAAGAGAATGAAGGGGAAAGGAATAACAGGGAAAATAAATATTTCCCATTAAGGGTCCTATACCTTCACAGTATTTTTTTTTTTCATTTAATTAGCCATCCCCACCATTGAACATTCAGCCCAATGCTCTGTTCAGTAAGCAGGCACCAGGTTAAAAAAAGCCACAAATTTCCTCTTTTTTTTTTAATGACCCCACTCTTTACCCACAACTTCAAAGGTTTTCTGCTTTTCCATTATCTTGCCTTTGCCTTCATAGGAAGGAAGAAGCAGGAGAATAAAATGCTGTCTCTTTAAAAGCAGGCAAAAAATATCAAATATTTATATCCACTGGAACAGGAACCTGCTTATGCTTTCAAAGCAGAGAAATAAAACATATCCTGTAGGATGAGATGTTCTTCTGTGTCCCGTTTAACAGCTGGACAAATAGATTATAAAGGTGCCCAGTAAGTAAGATGGAGCATATGACAGATGGTTATGACAATCACACCCAATTCTGTCTGTACATCTTGCCAATATTTATTTCTTTTTTTCTTTTTGCTAGCCCAGCTGCTCCATCTTTACTAGCAGCAACCCATATCATTCAATGTTTAAATAGTGAAGCTTTTCCTAGCATGCCCATGAATGCATCACATTTTCATCTGAATTTCTATCCATCGGGCTAATATCAACAGAACAGAGCCAGTTTCAATTGCTCTAATGTGTTCCATATTTGAGATTTACAGCTATTCATTGCATGTGTTGATGGACAACACATTGTCTTAGGGTGTAATAAAGAAGCACTAGTGCAGCTCAGTCTCACAGCTTCTGTTCTTTTTTCCATGGGTAATCTACAGCAATATTTCTCAGTCCTGGCAATTTATACATGTGTAGAAATTCTTCAGCCAACAGACCCATTTCTGAAAATCCTGATTTACAGGATTCTCATTCTAGACCTCCCTATCTCCAAGCATTCTTGTGGCATATTCTCTGTGGCAGCTTAGCAAAACAAGAAGCAAAGTTTTAAAAGTTTGTTCATGTACAAATCCCATACACAACAACAAAGGATATCAGAGGATCAATTTAACATCTAATTACAGAGAATCATTTGCTTAATAAACAGCTTAATACCGCCTAATTCTTCCCTTTCATTCTATAAGTTATTTAAATCCATATATAGGAAGACCCACTCCCCATAGACAAGACAAATATGAGGTAGGAAAAAGGGTTAAGATATTGAATGAAGATTTTCCTTCCATATTGAACGAAGTGATGTCCTGTAGATACTTTAGTTGAATCTATCCATACAACCTATTCTTAATATTCTTGCCTTTTAAGTTTTTTTTAAAGATTCTGACTATCACTTTCTAAAATAGGTTAGAACTATGCGGCAAAATATCAGGAGATGACTGTTCACTTTAAAAAAAAACAAGCAAGAAAGCAATTTGTTAAAGATAGCAGCTTGCATAAATCATAAAAGTACTATTCAGCCAAAGATAACAGCAAACTGAAACATGTATCTAGTCAATCCAACTCTCCTTCCAAAGCAAAAAGGGACTCTACAATCAAAACCATCTATTTAAAAGAGCAATAAAATTCAGTCTATATAAGAAAAATCAGTTGCCACACTATAGTAACAGGCAATGAATTAAGTCTAACTGGAATTTAGTAAAGATGTCAGCAGGACCAGACCAGCCACAAATACTTGTCCTTCACTTCCTCAGTGATCTGGAAGGAGGCCTTTATTAGAGCACTACAACCTCTGCCACAATAAGGAAAATAATGACAGTATCACAACATTCCTAATAGACAACAGCTGAAATGACTAAGCAAGGGAGAACAGGTGGAGAACCTGAGGCCACCAGGTGAGTATTCTAGCCTATTATTAAAGCTGCAAAGAGCCCAAGAACCACAACACTGGTATTCAGCCAGCAGCTGAAGAAACAGATCAGGCTCTCAGAAATGTATATGTGCTCTTGATGATGGCTAGACCATGGTATCCATCATTAAGGGCATAAGGCACTGGAGCGATCATCACTCCTCACTATTTCTTCTTATCTTTTTAGTATTATCCTATTATTACTCACAAATATAGGCTTGGGTCCTATGAGAAACCTAAACCTGTAGTGTAACAGAACAAAATTCCAGTGTATCAAAACCACTACTACTATGCCAAAAATAATACATATCAAATTATCCAGATGGCAGGGTGGGCTCATTGTAATTACAAGTATAAGAAACAAACAGTGCAGGTTAAGTACATGGTCTCAAATTCTTTAAACTGCTTTTTGGGGGCAGGCTGAGATATGAAGTTACTGTGACACAGTTGAGATAATGCAAGACTTTTTTCCCAAAATATATTCAACAGTAACGAAGCTAGGATAAAAAAAAGTAATTCTCCCAATTGTTTAGTAAAGAAATGTGAGGTTGTTGTTTTTTTTTTTAAAAAAAAATACATTGCTTTTGAAGTAATGGGAGAAAACTCTGTCCCCTGCCACTTGTCTTCCTTCTGCCAAGGCAAAAATTGAACATACACGTTAATCCTAATTTAACTGAACCATGATATGGAGAGCAGATGCATGCCTATATATGTATAAAGTAAGGAACAGGAATTATGTCACAGGAAAACAAAAAAACATATTTAATGATTTTGGGAATTGGAAGGTCTATCACCTCCTACAGGATGTTAGGAAGGCTCTAGCAGCGTGAAAAATTCATATTGGTCCCCAGAGAATAAAGTGCTTTTTCACATCCAACCATCTAAATTCCCAGCCATTAGATATGATTTCTTCTCTCAAAATAACTCTGTGCTGGGTTGTTTAGAAGCAGGTGGGGTAGAAGATCATGAAGCAGACTATTCCTTTTACAGAACTTACAGAAAGCATGGTTGACCAATCCAGGGGTCACAACCTTGGCAATTTTAAGATTTGTGGACTTCAAGTCCACAAGTCGCCACGGTTGGGGACCCCTGGGCCAATCTATTGTGGGTAGGGAAGAATAGTATCTTCTTTGAGATCCATTTGAAAACAATTATTAACCAGATAAAAATAAATAACACTTCCTGCAGAGTGCTCCCTTAAATAAAAGGCAATACTTCACAATATGAGTTGTGGCAAGTTCCACCAGTTCGTCCTGTAGTCTTTTAACAGTTGTTGCCATCCACTCATGTGTGAATTCTGCTTCTCTCACCTTTCCAGCACCCACCACTTCTAAGTACAACAAGGATTATCAATGACCAGCATGACATCAATGCCATAAACTTCCAGGAGGTCCATGAGGAAGCTACGGTCGCCTTGAGGATCCAAACCCATTCCACGGGCATGGTCAGCTGTCAATGTCTTGTCCTGGCTGGCTGATATCTCCATCAATGTCTGAAATATCCGGTTGTTCTGCTCCATGAAGAACCTTAGAGATAATGTGAAATGAAGACATATGAAGATGTGTAAAGCCTAAAGACATTCTGCTCTCCAAGCCCATGACTGAGTATTACTCATCTTCTGTTACCCCATAATTTGGAAAAATGCAATTGGCCGCTAGTTAAATTGGCAATGACTTGAAACTGACTACAAGCCACCTGTCCTCTATGGGAAATAGCCTCCTAAGAATATACTGCTCAACAGGTTTCTACAAATACCTTCACTGAAATCCCATGCCCCATTACAAGGGGCTTCTTCAAGAATTCACCCTATCTGAATCCATTAATTATTGTTTATGTAGATCTTTTTTTGCTTTTCTGTAGGATTCTTGATGATAGCCTTCATTTATTTTTGCGTATACAGCCTCCCGTTATATCAAAGGTAGGGCTACCTACTGGCCATGGCCAGCATAATGTATACTCAGACATGTTCTTTTGCTTTACACACTTTGTCCCACTTCACTCTTTAAAATGATTCTTTACAACATTAGCATGTTGCAAAGCAAAACACTAATTCCTAGCACCATATGCATTTGCAGAAATGAGTCCTAAATAGGTTGCAAATAGAGAGCATTCTAAGTTAATGAATCTAATAATTGCTACTCAATATGGCAGCTATTTTGTGAATGCACCCACCACAAAGCCTCAGAATTCAACCCAAAGGTGCTTTTTCACAAGGCAACTGGTCTTTCTGGTTTTTCCTTGGAAGACATTTCATCCAAGAAGCTTCTTCAGCACTGACTGGATGGTGGGGAATGGAAGGATTTATACTCCTTGCGGACAGCTGATCATTTGCATTCTTTTAGAGAGTTGTTGAGGGCACCTGGAGGTTTATCTCTCTTGTCAGGGTCACCTAAGTAGTGCAAATGTGTGTGGCGCTTTCTTGGAACTGCTGAAAGGACTGTGTTGTAGACTGGAGATAGATGATGTCGTATCCTTTCCCCTCTGCTTAGAGAGGGCTGTTCAATTTTGACATAGATGGCCTCTTTGACCCCTTTTTCAAACCAAAATTCAAAACTACTCTTAACCTAGTATTGCCATTTGCCATTCAGGTTAATATTATCTTGTCACTACTTTTCCAGGTTTGTGAACTACAATGGAGAGATTGTCAACTTTTAACCATGTAGCCCTTGACTAGCTAACAAACACTCTTGAGAATTTTCTCTCACCAACCTTGATGTTTATTTCCTTGCTGATGCTAAAAGTATAACATTTCAAACTCAGAATGTATTTTACTGCTTAGGTTTAGTTTCAATTTTCATAGCCCCATCAATAGCATAAATTATAGCCATTGCTACAACCTGATTACAGAAGTTGGAGTATAACTTTGAGGGCTCAGACTTTAAGCTGACCATAATAGATCTTTACTTTTGTATCACTCTTACATGCTACTATGCTTCTCTGAATATGTGGCCCCATGAAATATGGATTCCCTAGCTACTGAGACTTGCAGAAGTCCATGAAAAAACTACATTTTTCAGCAGTAGCTGCCCCAAATTGGGTAAGTATGTACGGGGGAACCTCAACCTCACCCCATCATCACTGAAGTTCCAACTGCAATCAGGTAATCAGGAGACTTACAGAGGATGAGAAAAGGAGAACAAAGGAAATAAGTTCCCAATAATCACAAGAGTGCTTGAAAATATAGGGGGGACATGATAGCAGTATTCCAATATCTCAGGGGCTGCCATAAAGAAGAGGGAATTAAGCTATTTTCCAAAGCACCTGAAGGCAGGACAAGAAGCAACGGGTGGAAACTCATCAAGGAGAGAAGCAACCTAGAACTAAGGAGAAACTTCCTGACAGTGAGAACAATTAATCAGTGGAACAGCTTGCCTCCAGAAGCAGTAAATGCTCCAACACTGGAAGTTTTTAAGAAGAGACTGGACAGCCATTTGTCCGAAATGGTGTAGGGTTTCCTGCCCGAGCAGGGGGTTGGACTAGATGACCTCCAAGGTCCCTTCCAACTTTACTACTATTACTATCACTAATTTCAAGTAGTACTCTGAACAATCTCATCTCAACAACTTACAAGATGAAGAGGTCCTCTTCACAAGAACTACAGTCACCATCTACTTCCTGGGAGTACATCAGCATTTGTCTGAATGAGGGAAACATATATACTCATCACATTGACAGATCCACAATTGGTGCCCTATAGCAATCCAAACAAATACCCACAACCTGATCCAATACTTCCTGGACATGCTATCCATGGCATCATTACAACATCAAAGTGAGTATCTAGTCAGAGGCTTATTGAGTGAAGCCTTCCCTGTGATTCTGCATAAACATGCTGGAAAGAAATGAGCAAAAATCTTGAACAATTCAGAACTAAAGCAGAGGCTTTCACTCACGCTCCCCATAAAACTTGGAGAAAAGTCCCTAACCAATTTCTGGTACTACCTCTGATCATTAAGTCTCTGATACTTCTCCTTGTCTGCACTGTTAATCTTCAGGAGTGGTTGCAGATGCTCTTGATGTGTCTTTACATTCTGGTTATCTACATAGACATCATAGAGATCTTGCTTCTCTTCAAAGATTTTTTCTGTTGTGCCTGGTGAAAAAAACACAAGAGAATGGGTTGGATCCAAATTAAGTTAAATGCACTTGGGTTTTCCACCAAACTCAATGAGATGTCAACACTTAAATACAAACAGCCACAGTGAACATGGGCTGAAGTTTCAGTGATGTTTATATTCAGCCTCCAAGGCTGTTGGAAACATCAATTGAGTGGGCAGGCCCAAATATTTAGTGTGTTTTGCAAGGAGTTTTGCAAGTCCAAATGGTTGGCTGGGGAATTCTGGGAGCTGAAATCCACAAGTCTTAAAGTTGCCACAGTGGGACTCCCCTGCTGTAAGTTTTTCAGAAACTTAATACATGTATTTTGATTATTTTGACCAAAGAACTAGACAAAATCAAACCATGAAAAAACAGGATGTCCTTGGATCTGCAGAAACGGCTGATGACAGCCTACATCAGGAGTGTCAAACTGCTGGCCTGCAGGCCAGATGCGTCACGAGGAAACCGCACCCACCCCATTGCCGACAATGGGGGGAAAGCTCCAATACGTCGCGCGACGTCACATGATGTTGCGAGTTTGACATGTCTGGCCTACATGCTTGCTATAGTATACGGAGACTATAATATACTAATTTTTAGATACTTCTTGCATGGAAGTGGTAGGATTTTTCAAAACACAGAACCAGATTTGCTACCTCTATCTGCCAAAATGATAGGGTACATTCCTCAAATATCTTTAATATTCAGCTGTGCTGAATGTATAAATGTTTCATGTAAAATTGTTGGAAGTCCAACTTCTAAAACAGCCAAACTGATCCCAGGTAGCACAAATACAATAAGGAAGTAAATCTGGAGCATTACATACTTACAGGCTACATATGATACTTCAGTCTCCAGCATTTCAATGTCGGCTACATTGACATAGAAAAATGGCTTAGACTCAGGGACAGTCCCTCCAATACCCGGCAAGGAGACATTGGCAAGGCAGCAGCAGCAATAAACTATAGGCAAGAACAGGAAGAAACCAACAAGGCATAAGATAGGCAATGGGACCTCCAGAACTTCTTTGAGAATCTGGGAAGAAACCTGCCACAGGAGGAAATGTCGCTACCCAGAGCAATCAAATGATATTCCGAAAATCAAAACAATGTTCACTGAATGCCCTTGGAAAAAACAGGGAAGCTCCAAAATGAAAAATGCATTTATGAATAAAAAGACATTCAGGAATAGAGACACTAATTAACACTTTTGTTTTCCAGAACTGTATATTTGCTTTTCTTTTCTTCATGGAAGCCATTGCCTCTCTCTTCAGGAGTAAGAACGTCAACTCAGTAAGACACGACTGAATGTGTATGCAGCTGAAAAACAGACCATTTAGTTTTCTCTACCTCACACCCACGTATGCCTGCCTGTCTTAGGAACTCAGGAGGCAACAGTGTGAATTTGCCAATAATGTAACTTGTTAAATTATCTACTAAGAATGTAATGAACTGTTAATGCGCTAGACCTGTGTTTCTCAACCTTGACAATTTTAAGACAGATTTGGGTTGCTGAAGTTCAAGTCCCCACCCAACCATAGAGCCCACTGGATAACTTTGGGACCTTTTATTTATTTATTTAGTTAGTTAGTTATATCCTGCCTTTATTAATTTTTACAAATAACTCAGGGCAGCGAACACATCCAACACACCTTCCTGCTCCTATTTTTCCCATAACAACAACCCTGTAAGGTGAGTTGGGCTGAGACAGAGTGACTGGCCCAACGTTGTCCAGCCATCTTTCATGGCTAAGGCGGAACTAGAATTCACAGTCTCCCGCTTTCCTAGCCTGGTGCCTTCACCTCCAGACCAAACTGGCTCTCTTATTCCATTTCTCTGAGCCCAACCTAACTTACAGGGTTTTTGTTGTGAAGAAAAACATGGGGAAGGGACATCCTCCCTACCATTTAAAGCAGGGGTCCCCAATCCCCAGTCTGTGGATCAGTATCGGGCCGCAGCATGCCAGCATCTGGACCGCACAAACAAGCAAAGCCCCATCCGCAGGATGCAGGCAGCACACAAAACCATGCACCCTCTAGCCCATGGAACTGGTCCCTGGTGCCCAAAAAATTGGGGACCTCTGATTTAAAGCACCCGAGAGAAAAGGTGCAATATGAATGCAATTTCATTAAAACATTTACACTGTCAACATGCTAAAAAATACTATGCTACATAACAATTCTGTTTTCCACTTATAAAATGTATGAGTCGACAGCTAATTTGGATATTACATAAAGTGAAACCTTAATACATTCTCTGAAAATCTGCATCTGAACATATATGTAAAAAAATGTTTGTGCTTTTGGATGTGGAATATCTGTCATTGGCAAATGAACTTTTTTTTACACAGTCCTCAACTTATGTAAGACCTCAACTTACAACCAGTCACTTAGTAACCATTATAAGTTCCGACAGATCAACATGGGTGATACTTATTACCCAGATTTGAATTTCTGAAAGTCTGCCACACACCACTTGCAGTCATGGGATCGCCTTTTGGGAATTCAACAACCAGGTTGCATTGGTAATTGTTTGCAGCATCCTATAGTCACGTTTTTCAAAGGTTTTGCCAAAAATCAGCATTTACTTCCAGTGTCGGGCAAAAACAGCCCTTGGCAAACCACTGGTTCATTTAATGGCCATGGTGCTCACTTTATGACTTTATGCAAAAAAGGTCACATGACCAACCAGCTTTATAACTGTCATAACACATGAAAATTATGGGCAGGCTCCATTACGATCATAACTTGAGGACATGTATAGTAGGAAAATATTTTATTAAAATGGCAAAGTATTACAATAATTTGATCTGCAAGAGAGTAACTTCCTTAAAAAACGTTTTTCTCTCTCTCTCTCTCCCTTCTTCCCTCTTCCTCTTCTTAAATTTCTGTAATATGAAATGGGTGAATTATGCTTTTTTCTGTTGCCTGATTTTGTAACGAAGACCACATGCTCTACCCTCCTTCCTACCTCTGTAGCAGACCACGCCGACGGGAGGTGGGGAAAATATCAAAATGCGCTTGCGGAGCAAGGCAAACTTCCAGAGGGTCAGGATCTGCTCTCCAAAGAACTTGATGAACTGAGACATACAGCCTGCAGGGTGGGTGATCTGCAGCCAGAGGAAACAGCAAGAAACCGAGGTCAAAGCTGAAACAAGGGAAGCGAGCGGCTACAGAAATGGCAATTTCAACAAAAGCTCTGAGAAGAGAGGAACTACCCATGGTTGGTATCTCTCTCTCTCTCTCTCTTTTTTTTTTTTTTATAAATAGCGAAAAATTGGTCATTGTCTCTCACTCCCAGCAAGGAATTGACTGCTGTGATGAACAGACACCCAGAGTTTTATTTCATTAAATATTTATGCTGCTGCCAAAATAGTCTGATGCAGTCGGCTCCCAACCAAATAAAATGCGAGGAAACATCCACAGTAAGTAAAACAAAACAAAAAATTGAACATAAGCATCCACAGCAAGAAGCACAAAAACAATATAATAATATAACATAAACATTCCATAACCGAAGGGAGAAAAATACACTACCCATACCCTTAGAACCCAGAGTAACCAAAAAACATAGCATCTATTGGTAATAATGAAACCAACATACACAGTTCAACAGTTCCAATTATTTCTCACCTTCATCTCTGGATACATATATTTGTGGATGGAAGGCAGCCAGTGGATGGGTTGCTGTGAAACAAGAGTGCCTGCTGGGAAGACCCCTTTCTTGTCATCGTAAAAGGCTTCCAAGTGAGAGTAATGTCCTGGCATTTCCAACTGATGCCTGGAAGGGAAACAAATAAACTAGTGATCCCTCTATAGCCTCCCTTATCAGATGCACAATTCATTTCCTATTTATCTTCATAATAAGACTGACAGCAAAGTGGTCCAGTTGAGGCCTGGATTGAGCCCCTCTGTTTGGGAGGGTGGGTGGGTTGGTAGATTATGCCCAATGTGAGGGGAAAGGGCTGGGTTTCCCAGCAAATCCTCAGAAAGAATAGCAATAGCACTTAGACATATATACCACTTCATAGTGTTTTATAGCCCTTTCTGAGCTGCTTACAGAGTCAGTATATTGCCCCCGACAATCTGGGTTTTCATTTTACCAATCTCGGAAAGAAGGCTGAAATCAACCTTGAGCCAGTCAGGATCAAACTGCTGGCAGTCGGAAGAATTACCCTGCAATACTGCATTCTAACCACTGCACCACCACGGAATCACACACATGGCATTTGTCTTGCACAGACAGGTCTTGATTCGGAATCAGATTCATGCCATAGCACACCCCATGTGGCGATATCCCATTTTCATTGGGATTTTGCCTATCTCTACTTTATGGGAAATACCTTCATTTAGGTAACAAATAAACATTGGTTCATCGCTGTCACAGCCAAAACATAGCAGTGATCTAGAAGATCTAACAGGGCTTCCCATTATGAACTAAACACTGCTTGTAGGACGCTTGGAGGTGTTAGAAGAAACACCATCCCCACGTGCTTCCTTTATCTAAGGACCTACCTGACCTGGTTCTCCAAGAAGTGCATGTATCTGTACAACAGAGTGTAGGAAGGAGAAAGAATGCCCACAGATTTCATCCGCGCACCACGTTCCAATTCGCTCTCCACAGGCATATTGGCAAAACAAGCCAAACCAAAGCAAACACCTTTCCGGAAGTAACTAGAAAAGAATAAGGATACATCTTCAAAGCATCAGCAGACAAATGATTAAAAACATAACAAAGCCTGATGGTAGCAAGAAGGACTATGAAAACAGGTCATGGGAGAACCAGAGAATTTACAGCACACATAGCACTTATGCCAGTGATGGCAAACCTTTTAGAGACCGAGTGCCCAAAAACTGGCCCCGCCCCACTCTACCCCCCTGCCCCGCCCCCACTCTGCCCCTATCCCCCGCCCCGCCTGCCCACAGGACCACTCACGGCCTCCAGGGCTCGCCACAGATCGCCCAGACAACCTAGCAGCGCTATAGCAGCCACACCCTCTGCCTGCACACTGCAGCATCAACTGCATGATGGGGTGTGAAGGCAGAGTCTTGTCTACGCTGCCTGGCTGCCATGTCCTTGGCTGCGCTGCTCCGTGTGGGCCACGCTCAAGGGTAAGTCTCTTTCAGGGGAGGCTGCTGGACAGGAGGGGGCGCGGGGGGAAGCAAGGCTGGGGCAACAGCACATGTGCCCACAGAGAGGGCTCCGAGTGCCGCCTCTGGAACCCATGCCATAGGTTCGCCACCACTGACTTATGCCTTTGCTCTTCAACTATGGCAGTGGTGGCGAACCTATGGCACGGGTGCCAGAGGCAGCACTCAGAGCCCTCTCTGTGGGCATGTGCACCGTTGCCCCAGTCCTAGGCCTTCAGCTGGGTTTTATAAAACGCTTTCGCTTTAGGCCTCTGCCGCCGTGTGCAAAAAAAAAAAAGGTTCAATCAATCAGTCAATTTCAACTTCTTGCAGGAAAAAAAAAGATCTTGCAAAGTTGGAATTGATTGATTGAACTTTTTAGTCCCACCCAGTTTGCCATTACCACTACGGCCACGCCCACCCAATGGCCAAACCCACCTGGCACCTGACAATGCATAAATGGGTTTTGGGTTGCAGTTTGGACACTCGGTCTCTAAAAGGTTCGCCATCACTGAACTATGGGATTGAGAACTAACTTGCAATCTATCCTTAAAATACAGCACTAGCACAGTTTCCTTAGGCTGCTTTTTCGCCTCTTGGGAAGAATATTATTCCTTCAATCCTAGCTCCAGTTCTAGGATTAAATAAACTTTATTTTATTAATTATATAGAGGCCTTCCAAGAAGCCTTTCAGCAAAAAATACCCAGACTACAATATTTAAGAACTGCAGGGGACCAATTTCACCAAGGCAGATAAGATATAGGTTCTGAACGTACACCCACACGATAGGGACTGGAAAATTCATCATTAAAAGGTGTGATCGTTAAGCGAGCATCATGTAACTGATTTTATGACCTTTTTTGCTGAAATTGTTAAGTGAATCATAGTGGTGTTAACTGAGATATCACATGACGGTGACTTGTGACCTTCCCTGCCAGCTTCCTCAAAGACTTTGCTTGTAGGAAGCCAACTGGGAAAGTTGCAAATGGTGATCATGTGATCACAGGAAAGTCCAACTGTTGTAAAGGGCCTGACTCATGATCATGTGACAACAGGGCTGCTGCAATGGCTGTTAAGTGTGAGACCAGTCATAAGTCACTTTTTCCAGCACTGTCATAACTTCGAACAATTGTTAAACAAATGATTGTTAAGCAAGAACTACCTGAAGATTGGTAGATATCAAAATACCCAAATACTCTATTTTGTTAAGTCTTTATTTGGCACTTAAAAGGTAGCAAAGTAAGCACCAGATATACTTTCTTTGACTAGCAACTGATTAATAGCAGAGGCCCACGGAGAAAACCATCATTAAACAACTACAACTTGTGGGCAACTTAGTAAAAGAATTATTATTCTGTTCCAAACAAAAATATATATATTTGTACAGAAATTCAGGGATTGGAGTACAGAAATACTGAAAAAAAGGGTAAGAAATGAAGAGAGAAACAAAAATGATGTTGTTGTGGGTATTTATTACAGAAGAAGATGCTGTATGTAGGCCCTTCTGTGCCAGATGATCGATGTTTCAAAGATGGATGCAATAAATGTTAATGAGAAATATAAATTATCCTGACATTTACAGGAATCTAATTCTACCAAGAGGACCAACAAATCCTTATCCTCTCTTGCTGACAATTTTATCTGTCAGAAAGTGGTAGAAAAAAGAAATTGCATCTGCTATCCTGGACTTCATCCTCATTGTCAGGGAAGAATTAACTGAAGGAATTGGCATCTTGGGAAAAGCGTTTACGCTATCTTTGAATCTGAGATATTGAGAAAAATCAAATTGGACGTCAGAGGAGTAGAAAAAGTGATGAACTGGCAATGACAAGTGGAAATGTTCTCTTATTTTGTGTTTACATTTTGTCAGACTGGAAATGGAGATCTAGCTGGTTATCATTATGTCATTGGGAGCCAGCATAGGGTTATTACAAATTGTACCAAACTATATGTTTAACTATATGTCTTTCTTTAGAGTTACTAGCTTAATAGATCAGAAGAATATAATCAGGCAAATAATTTTAATTATGGAGACCCCTGACAGGTCTTGGGAGACCCCCAGGGGTCCTAAGATCACACTTTAAGAAACACTGCTGGAGTGGATCCTGCACTGAACAAACTTAGGATTCAATTACAAATCTGGAAGGCACTTTGCTGCTTTCAATATGGCTGGAAATAGTCAAGAACTCCTTTTTGCTTTTCAGCACAGATGCCAATTATATTCCAGATGTATTCCAGTTGCCAGACTAGTCTTTGAGAGCAACTGCACTTATAAAATGATAAAATGGAGATGTTTACTGTTTCTTTATAAATCACTCTTCCAACATTGGGTCTTACAAGATATACTAAGATATAGACATTACCAGAGGTAGACACAATGTTTAGCATACCTTGTTTTCCAAATTTACGATTCACTCCTATAAGAAGAATGAACAGTCGCAGCCAGGAGGGACAAGGGGCACTGGGACCATCAAAAAAAGTCAAGATTTGTAACTGCAACATGTCCATATTTTATGTGCTTCATGTGCATAGCGCACATTAAAAAGAATGGGGTTTTGATGGCATAGGTGCAGCTAGCAGCTTGACTGTTTTTTCCCCCTTCAGGTAGCCCTGGACAGGTACTTCGAAAGGTGAATTTGACTCTGAAGAAATCACACAAATATATACAGACTGCCCAGTGTGGTTTAATATTACTAGGCATAGCAGTGGGTAAGAGGTTATGGACAGTAAACCCTGGTCCTTGGTGCTGTGCATGCTACATTCGTCCTCAAATCTGCAGTCACCTATACATATGATTGACATTAATGCTGAGCATTTTGTCTTAATAATGAAAACCACTGTACCCATTTAATCCTTTCCAGATAACCGAAAGATCTGTATAACTGAGTGGTGCAGGAAGTCTGCAATGCACTCACATGAAATCAGACTGGATTTTATGGGATCCACTGGCCATAGATTTGAACTCAACACCTTCCAGATCAATGTCTTGTGGCAAACACCATTCGACCATATTACCTGTGCAGAAAGGAGGAAAACAAAACATTAATATGGATCCAGGACAAGACCAAGGCCATAAAATCACAGTTATGTGCCTTTCTACTTCTGAACTACTGAAAGCAGAGCCTCCATTGTCTGACATTATAAATTTTACCGCTAAAGGAGAATATTTGTAGCTCAGGATTGAAACTGAGGGGTCCTTGGTGCTCTCTAAGCTTGGCTGTTTTCTTGTAGACTTTTCATTACCCAAACTAGGTTACATCATGAATGCTAGCACTAATGATATTACCTAGTTTGGGTAATGAAACACTTGCAAGAAAACAACCAAACTCAAAGACTACCAAGGACTCCTCATAAGTTTTACAGAAATAGCTATTTCTTCCTCATAACCAAAATTCTTCAGGCACCCGGATTAGCTCTAGCTGAATTTTTTTTCTCTGAAAGAAATAAATCAATTTCTCTAAACCTTCTGAAAATGTGCTTTACATTTTAAAAAAATCAGCAAGGGCTATTGAGTTAATGTTATAGTACATGTCATTATAATTGCACTGCTGTCTTCCCTAAGTGTTTTATTGTTTAATGTGTGTGTCAATACCCATCCATCCATCTATCTCAAACATGCAAGTGTTCCCTTACTATGCTAGGTACCGGGAAGACTAAGAGGTTATGCCTTACCTCCAGACATTTGCTAAATGCAATATTTATATTTATTCCAGCCCTTGGGAGCCTTACAGAATGAGACATCTCCAATTTAAGTAGATATCAGACTTAAGAAACACTGTTTCAGGTCAAAATGTGGCTTTCTGCCCTGGCTGGTGACTGGGGTTCATGCAGAAGTCTTTCCCATCACCTACTACTTGATGTCTGTTAACTGGTGCTGTGTCCAAAACCTGGCTCACCTAAAGCAACCAAATCACTTTGAAGATACAATTTAATTTTATTAGCATGCATACAGTATATATTGGGCTCCAAAACCAGAGCTGTGGTCAGTGAATAGAAAGTTTGGTTTACTGGACCAGGTTCTTGATTGATTCTTCTCCCTGTGACCATCTAGGATCAGTTCAACCTTCTGTATGAATGTTACTTACAAGCAGTGCTTTTTTTGTTAAAAAAAAAAAAAGGTGCCGGAACTCACACACATCATACAACCTGCCTTGCCTACCCTACAAGGTTCCATCCAAAAAAGGTGCCGGAACTCCGTTCTGGGAGTTCTATGACAAAAAAAGTCCTGCTTACAAGGAAAAATTAAGCAGTCCCCATATATAGGGCGTGGGGAGTTCATAGGTTTATTAATGTAAGCAGCTTACATGTCTCTGGGGGGAGGGTATCTTTATACTACTACTTTGGAGATGCCAATGATTAAGTCTGGGATCATTTGCATGTAAACCACATGTGTCCTCCCTTTCTGGCTGCAGTTCTCCCTAGGCATCCTATAGCCAAGTTGATACAATCAGAAAGACCATTTATTTGATGGAAGCAAAGCAGCACACTGTTCTATATCCCCTTTGCTGCAATATAGTGATTATCCAGTTTACAATCTATATATAGTACCATTAGTCCTTCCCCAGATCCATGACTATTTCTCTGGGAGCTTTTTCTTTCAGATATCACTGTGGATTATGCTGTCATATTATCCTACCTCCTAAGATTTCAAGTACAAGTTTCTTCCTTCCTCTACCCATATTATCCCAATTCTGGTTAGGCAAGTTTACTCTTCATTATTATTTATTTTATTCCATCTTTCAGGATGACAAACTTCCTGAAATGCCTTAAAATGACTATAAAGAGTAAATATTATTCAAACAAAACAACTATAATTATTTCTGTCCCATTATTCAAGATGATATTCCTGCCATCAGAAAAACATTGATTATGTGCTATCAACTTACTTTCAACTCCAAGTGATCACAGAGATTAATTAAAATGAGTCAACCAACTTTCATACTTCCCATTGGTGGAAAGACCCAGGAGATGGGGGAAGATGGATATGGAAGATGGATATGGAGAAATGTCCAGTGTTGTCACCTGCCTTTCTCATAATATTGAATCATGTATTCTGAAGTCAATGAATAAACATCACTCACTGGGTTCATCTACTGAGGTGAGCCAGAAGCCATGTACTATGCAACACAATGGGTGGTTTCTTACAAGACATGCTAACTCAAAACCAAACAAAACACATTATGACTGGCCAGCAATGACTTTTCCAAGGACATCCAGTGACTTGCAACTCTGATCCTAGTTCAACAGACTACTATACCACAATAATCTTCTCTTGCAATGAGTAGGACCTTTTGATTGCACAAACAAAATAATGCTCAGCGTCTGAATATCTGAAATAGAGGCAATGTTTCTTTGGATCAGTATTTTTCAATCGAAACAACTCATAGTGAGGACAAAGGTGGGGGGAGACACAGACAGATTAACAGAGTTGGAAGGGACCTTGGAGGTCTTGTAGTCCAACTACTTGCTCAAGCAGAAGACCCTGTACCATTCTGGACAAATGGATGTGCAATCTCTTCTTAAAAACCTCGAGTGACGGAGAACTTACAACTTCTGGAGACAAGCCGTTCCGTTGATTAATTGTTCTCACTGTCAAGAAATTTCCTTTTAATTCTAGGTTGGATCTCTCTTTAATGATCATCCACTCATTATTTTCTGTCTTTCCCTCAGGTAAATTGGAGAATAGGTTGACCCCCCCCCCTCTTTGCTGTGATCACCCTTTGTATTGGGAGACTGCTGTCATGTCAACCTCTAGTCCTTCTCTTTGTTAGACTAGATATATTCTGTTCCTGCAACTGTTCATCATGTGTAGCCTCCAGTCCCCTACTCCCTTGAGTTTCCAGAGAAAAGCAAGGATATAAATGCTATATAACAATTAATAGTAAATTATTATGAGGCTCAAGATTTATAGAGCTTCATTTATATACACACATAAAACCACACACGAAAAACAAAGAAATTAAATTCAAATCTATCATGGGGAAGAAGAGTAAGATGTGTGATTGGAATTTTAAAATGAAGCATTCCGGACCTGTACAACACTGTCTGTCATGTTCTTCCAGGCGTTTAAATACATCTTGAGGGTTCTTATGCCTGGTTAAATAATGTTCCTGCTTTATGGAGAGAAAAACGTCTATGAAAATATTTATTTGTTTTGATTTAGTGTAGGGCACTAGCTTGTTTGTGGGGAAAATATCTAAAGGCTGCTTGAATATATTAGAGAATTATCCCGTCTCTCAAATAAGCTACTTCTTTTTTTCCCCCAAGTCCCTTTTCAAGATATTTTGAAATGTTCCCCAAATGCATTGGGAAGTCACTCCAACCAGTTGTTAAATCAGGATAATGGGATTGTAATCCAATACATCAAAGGGATAGTTGGTTGAGGAATACTGTTCTAAGGACCTGGTGTTTCAGCATGACACGTCTTAAGAGACAGTTTAAAGAGGAAGGACTGAAGAGGCTAGCTAGTGCAGAATCAGATAACTGGCCTATTTGAGTGTTCATAATCTGCATTGATTGGCAGGATTGCAGAACTATTCACTGGGGCCTGTTAATATTCAAGAGGTCAAGTAGAGCAGTGTTTCTCAACTTTTTTTCTCCCATGGCTCCATTCCATGGCTCTTTTCTCCTGTGGCCATCTGTCCTATTAACGATACAGATATAACATCTTGTGAATTTTCTGGCATCAACAACAGTATGTTCAATCTAATATACTTTGCATTTCTGTGTCTCCATGACATGTACTATGGCCTCCCAATCCACATTTTTCACTTATAGCTCTCTTAAAATATTCTAGGCCGAGTGCAATATGATCCCTGGCTAAGAACCACTGAACTACAGGACAATCTGCCCAGTATCCTATCCTCGGACTAGCCCTGCATTCTCTGCATGAAAACACTTGTGCCTTCCCACTAAGCTTCAGCTTAGACCAATTACAGGTAGTCCTCAAGTTACGAGTGTAATGGAGCCCCCCATTCCACTTGTAACTCGAAAACTCATGGAAGTGAATCTCGTACCTCATTAAGACGCATACAGTTTGTTAAGTGAATATGAGGTATCTCAAGGTGGGGAAGGCCATGGAGGGCCTAGTGATGGAACAGGCGCCCAAGGCCTCCCCGACCCACTAAGATAACCTCACGCTTTCCCTTCTCTTCCTGTCGCACCGGACTCCCCTTCAAAAGAGCCATTTCCTCTCTGCTGCAGTTCCTGCTGCCGCCCGAATCTAAGGTTGAGGGACGCTTCCCCATGCCTCCGGAGGCCGGATTGAGGCATTGGAGGCCTTTTCCAGGACGCTGCCACCCGGATCTGACCAGGGGATACTTACGCGGCCCTCCGGTGACCTGTTTCGGGTGGCAGCAGCCTGGAGAAGGCCTATGACATCCCAATCCAGCCTCTGGAGGAACGTGGAAGCATCTCCCAGCCTCAGATCTGGGTGGCAGTGTCTAGAAAAGGCCTCTGGTGTCCCGATCCAGCCTCTGGAGGCACGTGAAAGGGTCCCCTGGCTTTAGTTCTGTTCTGTTGTAGAGAACAGAGGCCTAAAGTACCATGAGATCACGCGAGATCAGTATCATGAGACCTTGCCCCACTGATCTCGAGTGATCTTGCGTTACTTTAGGCCTCCATTCTCTGCAAATGCACCGAAGGCCTGGAGCAGCCAAGAAAGCGAAGGATCTTTATTGTCACAAGGTACTGAAGGCCTGGTGCGTAGGGAGACCCGGAGTGGGGAGGGAGGGCATAACTAGGGTGAATGTTGCAGAGCCTCTGCAGTCGCTCGTAAGGGTGAACGACTGCTGTGGTGCTGCAATATTCGTAATTTTGGGACTTGCTTGTAAGCACTAGGTGGCGCTTATCATGTAACTTCGAACAAGCATTAAGTGAACGCTCATAACTCGGGGATTACTTGTATCCATTTCTCTAATTTAAGATGGATTTCTATTTTTATGTACTCTTATGCTTTCATTCAATTTTAAGTTTACTCTGCCTGAATAATTCTCAAGTATCTGGCTAGGTGATTT